CAGTGTTACAGACTGAATGTTTGACCTCCCTCCCCAATCCATATATTGAAGCCCTAGCCCCAGTGAGGTTGTTTTTGGAGACAGGGGCTCTAAGGGTAACTGAGGCCCTGATCCCACAGAATCAGTGTCCTCAGAGGAGACCCCAGAGAGTGTGCTCTTCTTCCACGTGCCTGTACTGCGGGGATCCCACGTGAGCCCACAATGAGACGGTGTCTGCAAGCCAGGAAGAAAACCCTCACCAGAAACCTGACTGGCCTTTCTGAACCTTGATCTTGGACTTCTGGTCTCCAGATGGTGGGAAATAAATGCCTGTTGTTTATACCACCCAATCTATGGTATTTTGTTATGGCAGCTGAAGCAGATTAATATAAATTCTTTTAAATTCTTTGTACCATTTTGCTCACTAGAACTGATGCAAATTTACTAGGCTATAGTTAGGTAAGCCTTCATCTTTCTCTTTTGAAAATGGTGGTACTTCCTCCGCTTTATCTCCCAGACCTCTGTCACTCATGACAACTCAGTACCAAGAGCACCATCTCTGTGTCACAGTACACACCGTGTGCTGGCACGCAGGTCAACAGGAGACTGGAATGCAGTGCAACAGTCCCCTCTGAGTCTCAAGTCCTGCCACCTGTGCTGAGTTAGGAGGTGGCAATGATTACTCGATCTAATTGCTCTGCAGGTCATCCTGGCCTCCCAGCAGACTCTCAGGTCACCAATGGCAGGGCACACCCACTGCAGGAGCCAGGAAGTCCCCAAGCCGCTTCTAAGCCCAGCACCTCTGGCTCATCAACTGTCACGTCTGCAGTGGGAAGGGGCTCGTGGGGTGTGCTTGGTGCTCGGCCACTGAGTGCGGGAGGAGGGACAGGGGCTCTCCCTTACACTACAGTCTCACTTGCTCTTTGCTGTCTTCCTCTAAGCTCTGCTTGTTACAACGTGGCTTCCAGGAGGCCTGGGCCAGGGCCCTGGTATGGGCTTGGAGCCGTTTTGGGACCAAGTTGCTCATGCCTGGCCTTCCAGTTCCCTGGACTTCAGTTGGGAATGTGACCACTGGGTTTATCCTCCAGGCCCGCCTTCCTGGTAGGCTTCCCCATGGTCCACTCTGCAGGTGGGCCAGCCTACAGCCATGGACTGAGGACTCTCTTGTGTGGGTCTCCTTCCCTAACCATGGACAGTACTGCTTCCTGTTCTCCTGTGTCTTGCCACCTCTGCTCTTCCTCTCTCTCGCTGGCATATTCAAATCTGCCCTCTCTTGGCTCCTTTCTTGCAACTCACAAACAAGACCCAGCAGTGCTGGGCAGCTCCAACTTTTTGCTAAAGTGAAAGAATGCGCTGGGGCCTTGAGAGTGGCCCCTTGAGAGGCCTGCCTGAAGTCCAGCGCTGCTTTGAAGTCTGTTTTACCTTGCAAGTAGATATATGCATCTCAGATTTTACTGTATGATTCGTATTTCTACAAAACCATGTTTGAGTTTCTATCAAATATTTTAAATGATTTAGTTTTTGTACTGAATATATTAATGGAAATGATGTGGGACAGGGGTCAGCAAATTTTATTTATGAAGGGTCAGGTAGTAAAATATTTTAGGATTTATAGGCCACAGGGCCTCTGACAACTATAGTTTTGCACAAAAGCAGCCACAGAAAATCTATAAAGGAATGATTGTGGTTAGTTGTGCTCTGTTAAAGCTTTATTTATGGTCATTGAAATTTGAATTTCATGTTCACGAAATTTTTTTTCTTTATTTCTTCCATAGTTTATAAATGTCAAGCTAGTCTAGGGTCTGTGGCTTTATGTACAAAGCCAACACCACAGCAAGGTTATGGTAGTTTGGAATGAGATCTACCCCGATTCTTGATTTTCTACTCCTTGGTTGTACCACTGAAGGCAGGTGACCACCGACCCGACCTGGGTCCTCATCTGCGGAACATGTATTAAGACAAGCTCAAGCCTGTCAAAGCCTGACACGGTGGCCTGCAGAGCAGGCACCAATCAAGCAGTGCTGCGGCAACTTTTAGTGCTGCATGTGTGGACAGCATGGTGGGTGAGGTGTGTGCAGTTTCCCCCTTCCATCTCCCTTCCGTCACTCAGGCCCTTCTAGATGAATAGTTACCCAAGCCCCTGTCATCCCTCTTTTCACCAAGGGGAGACACTACTTCTCACATGGCCCTTTGGGCCTAGGTTGGTGAGTCTGAGCCTAGATACCAAGATGACTGGGCTGAACCCCAGCTCAGAGGCCTCTGAATACTGGCTCAGCGGAGAGAGAAAGGAAATACTTCCCTGAGTTAGTGGCCTCTGGACTGCCAGCATGGACCACAACAGCCCCTCTACCCTGTTCCTCATGTGTTTCACGCTATTTTATCACATTTATACTGTGGAGGGGCAGCTTGCCTCCACCCTGGCGTCCCCATGGATCAGATTACTGATCTGTAATCAGTCCTGGGCTCTTGAAGCTGAAGATGGTTGGCTGGGCAAGTTGTTTAGTGTCTCTGGGTCTCAATTCCCTCATATACATTGAGGTAGTTTCAAAATGTTATTGTGGAGCCGGGCATGGTGGCGCATGCCTGTAATCCCAGCGCTCGGGAGGCTGAGGCAGGACAATTGTTGTGAGTTTGAGGCCAGCCTGGGCTACAAAGTGAGCTCAAGGTCAACCTGAACTGCACAGAGAAACCATGTCTCAAAAAGGCAAAAAAAAAAAAAAAAAAAGTGTTATTGCAGGGATCAAGAACATGGCCATAAAGCACTTTGGACAAACCCTACCTAGAGGAAACGCCTACTACAAATGTGACCTGTACTATGGATGAAATGTAGGAGATCTACATTTAATTTGATTTCCAGATAAACAGCAATTTTTTTTTTTTAGTATTAGTTTGCACCAAATACTGCACAGTGTATACTAAAAATGTTGTTCTGAAACATAAATTTAACTGGATGCCTCTTCTGTCCCCCAAGCCTGGCAACTTTACATGGAGGGAGGCTTCACATCTCTGGGTGTCTCCGTCCCGAGCTCCACAACGGCCTCTTTATCCTGTTAGCCCACCCAGAATGTGGCCTCACAGGGCCGTGGGTAGAGTCAGGCCAGAAAGCTTGTTTCCTGCACTGCTTGGAGCCCAACCCCAGATCCCCTCTGTACTTGCCTTGGGACCTGGAGCAAGCTCTTCTTTGCCCCTTCCACATTCTCGATGTTCCTCTTTCCGGTGGGACTGGTAATCCTCACTCACTCGCTATTTAAAAGGAGTAAAGATAAAGGATTTATAACAGAATGGGCACAGTATTAAGCACTTGGCACTTTAGTCAACTCGACCAACAATCCTTTAAGTACACATTGTAATTATGCCCATTTTACAGATGAGGAAACAAAACTTGAAGACAGAGGTGTTGTTGCCTCCTCCCCCTGGAAGCTGTATCTCTGTCAGGGCCTCTACCCCCTTCCCTTTTCCTCAGTCTAGCTCTTCCCTTTGTCTTCCAGGGCTTGGGCTGGGGATAAGTCAGAACTCCAGCACTGCAGTAGTCTGGGCAGCAGCAGCTTATCACAGCCACCCCTGTTCCCACTTCCACAGTGACCTCACGGAGCATCTTCCTAGTATGAAACAGTACTTAAGCTTACCCCTCCCCACTTCCCAGCTCATCCCACGATACCCTGCAAGTATGGTGGCCACGAGAAGCATACAGTATGTGCCCTGCCTGGGGCTCTGCCTTGGAGCTCCTGAACTACACAGGCTGGGCCTGGAGAAGCCGAGAACACAGTCAGTCTAGAATCAAGGCCTTTGTCACTAGGCTGACTTGAGAAAGAAGTCTTTCTGCAGTTTCCAGGTCAGGAAAATGAACAGTAATTCTTCTAAGAAACCATTGCAAGGAATTGTGTGTAAATGAATCAAGCATAAAATTTTCCAGAGGGTGTGACGTTTTCAAGTGTTCCATTTTTCCCAGTGCCAATTTTCCTGAGTGCAATCCCTTGTCCCAGTTTTATAAAAGCCAGGTCTGGGTGCTGTCTCCTCCAGCTATGGGTCTAGCCCTGGCTCTGCTCTCTGGGGTCATAAGATAGCCTTGGGAGCCTGCTGGCTTTCCTTAGATTGGCTGCAGCCTCCCTCTAGCCAGCTCCCACAATGCTGTGAGGACAAGAGAGGTCACTTATGGCAAGCACGCATGACGCTAGCCCAGTGTACTGGACTAAACGCACATTCTGCCCATATTTAAGGATGTAGGACTTACTGGGACTCGGTCTGAGATAGAAATGAAACCAAGACTTTACTAGTACTTATTCTGCCTAAGTTATTTCTCTATCCAGGAGGAAGACTAAGTCTTGATTAGAGATCTATAAAGCCTGTAATACTTTCTTACTTGAAAAATGGTAGCAGAGGACCCCTAGGTCTTTCTCTAACAATACCCTTACGGTTTTCAGACCATTCTTGCACCCATCTGTCCGCACCTGGTAGGAATCCAACAAGGTGAGGCTATGTCTGCTCAGCCTTAAATGTGGGTTTGCTGCTTTCCTGCTGGCTTCAGCGATAACTCTACCCAGCCCTCCTGGGGCTGAGGAGTCATGATTCCCAAAGCTAAGGACCATAAAATTCTTAGACAGCCTTAAGAACTTCAGCTATTGAGGTTTTCCTGTGTCTTGTGGACCTACTCCAACCCAGACATTCTACCTCCCTTAGAAGTCGGAGGTGCATGCTCTGAGGCAGGACACCTGGTAAGCAGTTGAGAGTGCTGGGAGGCTTCAGCTGACAGTGCTGGGCCCCGAGTGTGGGAGCAGGGTGGTGTGCTGCCAACTCCCTTCCAGGGCATGTTTTAATCTGGTCCTCTGGGAGGGTGAGAGACAGGTTAGGTCAATCCTCAGGGCTGAATATTCAGCAGGCTTCAACAGGGTGGCCAGCACAAATGAGGGACGCGGGGCAGACAGCAGATTCCTTGAGTACTTACGATGCAGTTGTAAAATGCCAGGCTGTAACAGATATGCAAGTGCCACTGAAGTCCTCAAATACAAACTGGACTTTTCCACTTTTTTTTTTTAAATCCAGGATCAAGACCACAGACAATTTATTACGTGAGACATGGGGTGAAGAATGATCAAGGAAAGCTATGGCTGTGAGTGACATGGAATTAGATGAAAAGGCTCAAGTTTGCTGAAGAGAGTTTAAATTTGGCTTTTGCTCTTAGAAATATCAAAATAATCATAAGAAGCACTTATGCCTTACAGAGCAAGTAATCCACAGAGTGTCAGTTTCATTTTGCAAAAACAGGGTCACAATAGCAGTCAAACAGAAGCCTGAACACCCGAGTTAACATACAGGTTTGATAAGATATAACAAGGGGTTGCGCATGCTGGTGGGTTTCTACGTCAGATCCACATTCAACCCTGTGACTTACTGGAGGTTTACGTGAAACCTGGGGAAAGCGGCTTTTCCATACAAAACAACACAAGGACAACGAAGAAAACCAGACTCTGCTGGATGTCTATAATACTCATCTGCAGTAAGGCTTTCAAGATACAGGAATTTTTATAGCATTTGTATTTTAAGGATTTAGGGCAAATACATTTTTTTTTTCTACTTGATAAAAAGAAAATTAGTACTTAAAAGGTTCAAAAATATATCGATTGAGTGATTTTTTTCTTTTACATAAATAAATTATATTGATTTTCAGGATTTAACAGCTGAAAAAACCCTTTCTGCTTCCACTGGAGGCAAAATGAACAAAATGTTAGTTAAATAGAGAGAGCAGCATTTCTAAGAAATCTGTTGTCAGCATTATAGACCATCTACACTATGAGAGCGTCATTAAATAGGATTTATTCAATTATCAGATTCTGTCTTCTCATAGGATCAGTTATAGCATTTCTAGTTTATATCTCTGATTCAAAAAACTGGGACTCTGCTTTTGGAAAATACACCTGATTGATTTTCTTCGGTCACAACTTAACAGACTTCTTTGAGATGCTCATTTTAACATTTACATAATTTATAATTCCAAATGTAGAAAAGACAATGACAAAAGCATCATAAATAAATAATGCAAACTGAAGTAGTTATGTCAAACTTTTGGACCTTCTGATAAATTAGCAAAACTGTAACAGAAACAGTAAAAAATACAGTAAATTGTGACAAACACAAAGTGAAACTGGTACTAGTAACACTCGCAACACTTCCAACAGCTCTGCAAGCCCTGCGCCCCCAGAGTGCTATCTGTGATCTCTTTTCAAGTCTCCGAGCATGAGCTGTCCATGAAGGAGAAGAGCATCGGGAGGGATGTGATGTACGTGAGCGAAGGCGAAAGCAAACGGGAAGCGCTGCTTGGGTGGGTTCCGCCCCACTCAGTCCCGAAACACAGGCGAGCGGAGGAACCACAGGGAGTATTGCTGACTTGCGACAGTCTCGGCTAAGTGATAATTTGGAATTTGGGCTCGACTGTAAGATACAAAGAGTAAAGCAATAATGGAGAGAGAGGGGAAAAAACTTTTCACAGTTGTAGTGTAAAAGATGGTATGTGCATTTTGACAACCTCAGATAACCCTGAAGATAGAACCTAGCAAGTGTTGAGCAACTATCTTCTCCCAGGCTCTGGAAGCCTCATTCCTGAAGAACGAAAGCGCAAATAAAAATCCAGTAGGATTCTTTAAACACAATGAGGCAAATTAGTGACCAGAGAGGTTTTCAGGGGAGGAGGTGGAGCAGAGTTCTATCGGTGTGCTTGTGAAGCAACGTGCAACTCTGCAAGAGTGTGAGCGAGCCCCTGCCGTACCCCAGTGGCTGGTGGTAACTCACTGTGGGCGAAGCTTTCTCCAACTTAGAGTCACCTTTTAACTGGGGAGAGGGACGCTATACACAGACACAAAATAATGCCTAGACAGCTAATATTTTCTCTTGCTGCAGGTATCTAAAAAACCATGAAGGGGGAAATTATATTACTAACAGTAAAGTTTTTGTTTTTTTATAAAGAAATCAATATACGCATTTTCAACCATTAGTTATATACTTTGGACTATACTACTCACTCAGAAATCATGATAAAATAGGGACGTATTTTAACACAAAAATACACACCAACACTTTCTTTTTCTGTGCTTTTTGGTTTTCTTGCTACATTTTCCCTATTCAACCTAGCTCACGAGAAAAAGAGCTCTTCTTTGCATCTGTTCTTCGGCCCTTCAATGGCAAATCCTTGGACAGCTTTCTCTTGCCATTGTCCTCAGATAACTGGGAAACTTGGAAGAAGAGGGGGTAGGATGTGTCACCAAGTACTGTATTAACTAGGACTGCTGGAATGAACGACTGGATAACTGAATGAGAATTCTGTGCCTCCTAGACTAGGTAGACGACACTTATCTAACGGAGTGGCAAGACCCTGCAACTATTAACATCTGTTACCATAGTTCTCAGACAGGAAAATAGGTAGGTCATATTACTCATGGAAACACAGGTTCTTATGAAGGTGGAGTGAGGGAAGTAACAAACCTTTATGGGATAAGAAACAAGTCACAATAATTTCTTAAATGAAAAAGTTCTAATTGGTGTCACTGTTGGAGTCCTTGAGTCCCCCTTCTCCAGGCTGTGTCACATGTTGTCTCTCTGGGGGTACAGGGGTGCTGGATTCGGTGCAGTTCTGATCAGCGCCTGGCTCCCTTTCGCACCCGGGAGCAGGCTCTGGGTTGGGGTTGGGGTTGGGGTTGGGGTTGGGGTTGTCCCCCTTTGTTTTCTTCTTCTTCCTCTTCTGGCTCTCCAGACCAACTACCTCAGAGTGTCTGGCCTGCTGCATGGCCGGCAGAGCCATGCCCATACCAGGGGAGAGAAACATGGATGGGTAAATGAGTCCAGGAGACATTCCCGGGATGAGAAACGGGTTAAAAGCCACAGGGCTACTAGTAGTTATTGCGGATTCAGACTGATCAGAAAATGGACTAGGACCAGGCTTGTCTTCAGCTAACGTGTCTGCTTTTACATCATGGCCGCCGGGTGTGTCCTCCGCAGTCTTTTCAGTGGCTGCCGTACCACTTTTCGTTGTGCTTGAGAGTGACGCTGGAGCAGTGGACGTGCAGGTGGTTGCCATAGGAGGATTGAGGAGTCCCCCAACACCAAACATCTGGGGCACTGTGGCCATGCCTGGCAGCATCATGGGCAGCATGCTGAGGGTGCTTTTTACCTCTTCGCCTGTAGGCATGGTTGCAAAGCCAGCTGGGAAGCCCACCAGCCCAGTGAGAGGGATGCCTGGCATATTTCTCACATTCTGCAATCCTACCAGGTCCATTCCTGCAATCAACCCATTCATGAATAGAGGTCCCATTCCAGAGGGAGAGTCTGCCACAATGGCTGGCGCTTTCAGGAGCTCACTCCGAGGCCGCCGCCCCCTCCGGCGGGGGCCTGCATCCCGAAGTACAGGCTCACCCAGGGTATGATTGAACTTGTTTTCTGGGAGAAACCCCTGAAAAGGACAGAGAAACACAAGATGCGGAAGGTTACTGGATTGCAGGGGTCAGCTTGGGGTGATGGCTGGGGCTCTGCACTGTCCCCAGCTCCATGAAGGGCTCACGCAGGCCAAGAACATTTGGTGGCTTGGGAACAACCAGGGTGCCCATCACCGCCCAGCAGTGCTTCCAACACTCTCACTGGCAGGAGCAGGGTCCACTGTGTGAGAAGCTGGCAGAGAGCCAGGAGTTGGGAGACTGGCATTGAAGATGCACTGGGTCTTGCTGAGATTCAAGGCTGTGACCCTTTCAGCAGGAGGCAACATTCACGTTCGTCCTGACACAGTAAGGTTCGCATCGAAGCAACAAAGCACAGAATACGAAAGAGGGTTTTGGAGCCAGACGGACCCTAGTTTTTACATCCTGGCTCTGCGGCACTCTTGCTGTGGGGCTCAGGAGAGTCAGTTAACCTGTCAGTTTTGGAGAAAAACGGTAACAATAGCTATCTTAAAGTCACTGAAAGTGAAGTATCTCACACATCACCTGACTCATAGGAAGCAGTGCTTACTTGGGACTACCTGTATTTTTCTTCTCTTCATTCATTAGTAAAAAAGCTTCACAGTTAGCAGTTCTGCTCACAGGGCTCATGGCGTTTCCAGTATTACACATTTGGACCCTTCCCCATCACACATCAGGAAGATCATACCGCAGGGAACCAAGATATCACAGTGCCTCAAGGGTGGCAGTGAGCAGGCAGCAGCGTGGTGGCATGGAAAGCCCAGCTGTGGCCCTGCATCCTCCTTCCTCTGAGAAGGTGGCTCAGGATCTTAAGGGCAGTAAAGAAGCAGCTGGGAACTGGCCACCTGGAAAACCAGGCCTGAGCAGAGAGGTAATTAAACCAACCACTGCAATTATGATAGATCAACCCCTGAATGTGTTTCACAGATGATGTGAACCACCTCCATCTCAAGAGGACAATGCTTTCCCCACTGAAAGGACTTCCTGCCCACAATCCTTGTGCTCCTCTCTGGATAACGCACACACCCCTTTCTCTCTATTGCCCTCCATCTCTCACTACTCTTTATTTAAAGTAATACATGTCCCCAGGATTTAAAAAGTGACTTCAAACTGGGTGGTGCAGTGGCACATGCGTAACGAGGCTGGCGCAGCAGGATCACAAGTTCAAACCCAGCCTGGGCAACTCAATGAGACTCGGTCTCAAGACACAAAATAAATAAAGAGGGCCAGAGGGCTCAGCAGGAAGGCCCTGGGTTCACCTGCCAGTAGCTTCCCTCCACCTACACAGAAGGTGACTTACACTCATGTTGTTGAGCAGACGGTCTTCTTGTACGGAAGAGGAAGGAAAAAGCCCTTCCCTTTTAGGGCCTGGGAGGAAAGCAGCCTTTTCCCAGCCACACTGAAGAGCACTGGCCCTTCCTGCCCAGCTGTCCCCTTCCTGTGGTCCAGCTGCAAAGGTGGTGTGACGTTACCACCTCCTTGATTCAAGCAATGATGAAGTAGGAAGTTCAGAGTGGTCTTGATGGGTCTGAGGACGCTGCACTCACATTGAGCACGGTATCCTCGCTGCTAGGCTGAGCTGTGGAGCTGGCAAAGCAGTGTGAGGTGTGAGAGCTCCCTCGGCCTCCAGTTCCGGGTGTGTAAGGAACTCCTGGCGCCTTTTCAGGACTCTGCTTTGTGCAAACGCCTTCCTTTCCTGCCAGTCTGGAGTGAGTGGGGAGTAGGGATCTGGCAAGAAGCAGCTGAGGCTCCACTAGCCCACGGCTTCCTTTCTGTCTTTGATGGTAAGAAGCAGGGACCCGGCTGCCCTTCTCAATGGAGCAGATACTTGGGGCGATAAAGGGGGTGTGGGTCTCACCAAGAGATGCCAGAAGGACAGAAAGACAAAAAACAAAACAAAACAAAAATCCACCAAAAAACAAAACACACACACACAAGAACCTCTTACTAGGACCTGGAGTCCCACAGAATGTGGAGAGAAGTCCGGAAAGCGAAGGGCTCAAACTGGGGACTGAGTCTACTTAGCATTTTCCCATGAGCTGATTTATAAACGGATTCACATCTCTGGCATTTCCCATTTGCTTCACTCTCTTCTCCCAAAATGAACAAAGGAGTCAAATGTGTAGAAAACTCAACAACGTTTTGCTTAATCGGCAGTCACAAAGATAACTGGCAACGCTGTCTTCCGGCTCTCAGGGAGCTCTGAGGACGCGTGCAGGGGGCTCTAAGGGGAGAAGCTGCTGGGCCGTGTGAATTTCCCAGGCAGTGAGTGGTCCGCAGCTGGGAAACGGGCACAGAGTAGTGCTCAGGAAGGGGCGGCTGTTAACAGAAGAGTAGCAGGAAAAACAGCTGCTGCGAAAGAAGCACCTACCAGGTGCCAGGCACCAGTCCAAGGGCTCAACCGCATGATCTCAACTAATCATCACAACCCTGAGTCACTACTACTATCACAGCCACTTCACTGAGGACTCCCAGATGTGTGAAAATAGACGCATCTGAACATTCCTCAGTCTTCAGACAGAGTTGTTTTTCACTTGTCTTTCAACTATCCAAAAGGTATTCATGAAAAACTAGCCCATTACGGGCACAAAGCTTTATTATTATTTTGTTTGTTTGTTTGTTTTTTTGGTTTTTCTCTGGTACCGGGAACCGAACTCACAACCTTGCGCTTGCCAGGCAGGCGCTTTTGCCGCTGAGCTACATCCCCAGCCCCTTGGCACAAAGCTTTATGATGGTAACTCTGAGGAGAAAATTCTTAAAAGGCCTTGGTTTATTATCACAGAGCTGGAAGGAACCTATCTAACAGTCACGTTTGGTTTCCCTTCCCTTTCACTGACAGAGTGACAAGGATTCCCTCGGTCAGGGACAGAGCAGGCAACAGCCCAGGGCTCGTTCCACACCATGTTCCTCTTCTTCCCAGTATGAGCAGCTACTTACAAGGTGCAAAGCTGGTTTGTTCTGGAGTGTGCTGGAGACAACCCTGGCTAGTTCTTGTTCCTAAAGAGAAAATGTGAGATCTAACAGACAGGACCAAACTAAGAAGATGATTTTTTTACCGGTCTCTCGTGAGTTCGTCAATGCAAACCACCTCATTCCAAGCCAGCCATTCTGCCTGTCATGTGCAATTCTGGGCCCTTTTTGGCTCACAACCTTGGTGTAGGGCCCTAGCCAGGTAAACAGAACCTCTTCCTTGCCTGCAGGGATTCTCTAAGGCCCTCTGCCACTCACAATTAAGGGCCAGGGAAAGGTACTGGGTAATGTCTTTTTTAAATACACACACATGTTCCTTTATAACTCTGGGAGGTACATGTTTGATATCAGAAGTCTTTCTGTTAGGAAGAAATCAAGCTCAGCACTTTGATCAAGCCCACCACCTTATTTTCAAACAGTCTGCCATAAACTGAGTTTCTCATCAGGCTATCTAAGCCTAGATAACTCATTTAAGACCAGCCTATGCCCCACATGACCTCTGGCCTTGCTGGCTCGTCTTGCTTGGTACACAGAATACTCCTCAGGCATCAGGATGTCCTCAAACATCCATTCCCTGCCTTTGATGGGAGTCCCAGTTACAGAGAGAATGTAGGGTCCTCTCAGAAATGAAAGCTTTTAAAAAAATGTACAGGCTGGTCTTTTCTCTTCAGGTCTAGAGAACTATAGCAAAAAGGCTGGGGGTGGAGAGGAGCTCTTCATCCACACCATAGCAAGAAGGGTGCTAACAGAGGAAGTCAGCATTTACCACTTCCTGTGGAGGGGGGAGCTGCTCTAGCCACCCAGCTGCTGCCCACCCCAGGCAGGTGCCCCTCCCAGCAGCTCAGCGACCACACACAGTGTCCAGATTGGGCTTTGGCAGCTCTCCCTCTTGGTAATTATACCCTGGGAGCAAACCTGCTTCCTTTTCCAGGGGAGGCAGAGACAGCAAGGAAAAGGGGAGCCCGAACATTCAAGCAACACCAGAGGCAAAGCCGCTTTTCTAGATGACTGCATGGGCATATTCCTACCCAAGAATGCTTCCTGACACACAACGTTTACTCCAGCTCTAAAACTCTTCAGTGGAGGTTACAGAACGGTGGCAATCAAAGCTTCCTTACTACCCCCAGGACGCTTAATGGGCTCATTCAACAAACATCTACTGGGTGAAAAGACACCCAGAAACCAAATGAAATGTGTAGCTCCTCACTTAAAATTCCCCAAAGCAAACCAGAACAGAAGCCAGTTCTCAAAGACACTTTTTGGTCTACAGCTATACCACTCTGAACATGCCCGATCTCGTCAAAGACACTCTTTGAACAACTGGTGAAATCTGAATATGGATTAGATATCACAACTTAATAATCACATGCACATGCATGGAAATAATTACATAGGAACATGTTCTTAGGGGATGCATGTTGAAGTATTCAGGAGTTGATGTATCTTTTTTTTTTTTTAGTACCAGGAATCGAACTCAGGACCTCACACTTGCCAGGCAGGCGCTGTGCCACGGTGCTATATCCTCAGCCCTGGAGTGATGTGTCTTATCTACAACTTACTGTCATGTGGCTCAGCAAAAACAACAATCATATTACTTATAACCGTATTCCTATAATTTACATATACAACTATATTAAATATGTGTGCATACATATAGTTAATGAGCAACCCCTGTGCAGCAGGCATTACAGAACAGGCTCCGTGCCTTCTTGTAGCTTTATTACACCAAATCTGTGGACTTCTCCCATGCGAACTAAAGCACACATAGCAGAAGGGCAACGTGACCTCAAGAAAGGAGGAAGGGAACTCCTTGTGAGAGTGTAATGTGTTTCTAGGAAGGACCCGGTTTCTGCCACGGACTAAGTACTTGTGTCCCCCCAAATTCATACGATGAAGTCCTACATACAAAGACATAAAGAGATGATGGCTTTGGGGGGGGTAATTAGCTCACAGGGCTCCACCCTCACAAATGAGATTAGTAATCTTATAAAAGACCCTGGAGAGTTTGTCTGTCCCTTCATTCATGTGAGGACACAGCAAGAAGATGGCTGTTTGTGAGGCTCGAGCCTTCACCCAAGGCCAAATCTTAATCTTGGGCTTCTCAACCTACCTACCTACCTACATTCCTAGCTTCCTTCCTTCCTTCCTATTTTGGTACCTAGAATTGAACTCACGTCCTTGCGCTTGCCAGGCAGGCGCTTGTGCCACTGAGCCATATCCCTGGCCCTTCCCAACCTTTAGAACGATGAGAAATACATTTTTGCTGTTTATAAGCTGTTTGTTACACACACATCTGATCTGATGAAGAGTTCCTATGAGAAGGCGGCACGTAGAACACCCTGAAGGCTTATGTCCCAGGAAGAACTGTGGGACATATGCAGCTCACCTGGAGCTGAATGGAGGGAGGATGCGGCTCTGTCCCTGCTGCTAAGGCTGAGTGGCCCTGAGGGCCTTGTGGACAGATGTTCCCATTCTTGCCTTCCTGCAGAAAAAGGGCCTTCGGAGCATGGAATGTGCTTACTTAACAAAGGAGAAAAATGCATCTCCGAGAGGAAGCTGGTTTGCAAGAAGAGCTTAGAAACGGGTCTTTTGGAAAGTGTCAGAGTCTGCAGAGCAGGGATAAACACTAACTTCCACGGAAAGTGAGGGAAATGGTTAGACAAGAAGAGAGAAATGAGAAAGTCAAGGGGAAACCACACAGCTACCAGACATGTCTGTGAATCAGGAGCACAGGGGCTACAATGAGGTAAGGAGCTGGGGGCCTTGACCTGAGGACTCTGTGACACGCTTGCCATGGACTGAAACACAAGGTGAAAGTTGAAGAAAGACAGGATAAAAACAGAAATCTGCATATAGCACAGATAGGTCCAAGAACGGGCTGGTAAAGACATTTTCTGATAATAAAATAAGAAGGAACAAAGAAGGATACCTTTTCCCTGGTGACAGACTTGGGGGACTGGGCCAGGCCTCCCTCTGGCCGCGGTCATGCACACTGATGAGCAAGAGCAGTTGTTATGGAGCTGCTGGGAGAGTGACGAATTCTTTGGGAACATTAAATAACTTCTACAGAAAGAGGAAATGACTAGAGTGGGTGGTCTTCTGCAGCTAAAGTAAGAAATCACACGTGGGCAATCCTACCAAGAACTTGTAGTCAGGGAAGCTGCAGCTGGTACAGCTCTGAAGAGACAGTGTTTGGAGAGCAGGAGTTTATACAGCAGCCTGGGAAGAGCAAATGTCCCCACTGGGATTTTCAGAAGCTCCTATTTGGGCAGGATACACTCTGAGGAGGTTAAAAGCTCACTGATGTGCAATCTGCCCATGCTTAAAACATCTGCAAATAAAATGTTATTGCTGCCCTCTAGAGGTGATAGTTATTTTAGTCCAAATTCATACTCATCTGTAAACTATAATTAACTTAGATTCGTTATACTCCAAGTATTCTGCCGATGTCTTTGAAGTCCCTTCCAGTCCCATGATTCTATAATAGGAAAAGGGTAGTGCCCACAGTCAGCTGTTTTTCATTGCTAGTGAGGATTCACTAGGAAGAAACATCTGAAATGGTAGTCAAAAACATTTGGATAAGACATAAAAATTTCCAATAATGCAATTTGTTAAAACACTGGAAACACACTGCTGGCCAGGGTTAAACTTTCTTTTCCTTGATAATTCTAAAAATAGGAAAAAACCCAGGCATGGTTTAATTGTTTAGGAGATAAAGTTTGAAAAAATGACAAGAGAAAGTCATACTGCTGGTCAAGAATCTCCTGGGCACCATGTATCACTGTTTACCAACTGCCTGTGCTGGCCTCTTTTCCTCTGCAAAACGTTACCCACTTCCCAGCTACCTGCTTCCCAACTGGGGCTTTCGCTTATGTATGCCGTGTGCAGCTCAGAGAGGATGCTCCCCGTGTCCCCACACCCATGACCTTCTTCCTACCCTCAGTCCTGGCTCCTTGGGGACAGCAGGAACCCTCTCTTCTCCACTCAGAGAGCTGATGTCTAATTTTCCAGGTTCTTTACAGCGTGGCCTCCTCTGCTTTGGTCTGTCTGAAAAATTCTAGGAGGCAAATGGAGACCATATTACAAAACATTCTGTCACGGAGTCTTCTGAGAAGAGAGGTGGTTTTTAGCTGGTTTGGCTATTTTCTCACTGAGGGCCCTCTGCACAGAACCCTACTGCCAGCCCTCACCTAGGCTTTCTCTTCACGGAACACCAGCATTTTTGCAGCAAGCTGGAAAACAGGCTGTGTGGGCCCTGGGCCCTTAAGATTAGAGCACTCAACTTACTCAGCAGCTTCCCAGGGCACTGCTGAATCCCCAGCCTGGTCTTCAAATACCTCTGCACTGCTACCCACCCAGCTGGTTTTGTATGTCATTGAGAGGGTTATACACCTGTGAATTCATTCTCTTCTTTCCTGTGTACTCTCTATCTATGCATCTTATCAGTCACATGTACCCTGGATAAAGATAAAGTAGATGAGCAAGTGAGAAAAGAAAAATCAAGAAAAACTTATCAGCTCAGGAGCCTCCTGAAGATTCCTAACTGGAAGGCATTAGAGCAAAGGCAGCAACGTAACTTGAAGGCAAAGTCCCAAAGCAGTAACTGACTAAGAATGGAACTGCCCACCCCCTGTGGTAATATATTAATTAACTTGGAACATTTTCATCAAGTGGTAGAGTTCATACAACCTAAAGACTTCTCGGTGAGTTTATAACATCCTGTGGGCATAACATTTTGGGGGCAAATGGGCCGAACTTCGGCACTTTTTTTTCGCCTCTTAAAATTGTGCATATAGACTATTTGGCACAGCGTTCTCATGTGGGCTGTAACTTCTGCTACTGGAGGATTTAACAAAAATTGAAACTTTAAAAAACAAAAACATTCCAAAACAAAATTAACTTGAAAATGACATTCTCTATCAACACAGATTTCTCCCAAATAGCTTCCACCTTGTTTCCCTCAGCATGTGCTGATCAAAAACGGCCCAAGTTAGGTAGAATTTAACAGCAGTCTTAGGCAGCACCAACAAACACTTACTGCCCCAAAGCCAGGAACATCTAAGGAGTAGTCAGCCTGCTGCCGCAGCCAGTCAAGCAGGCTCTTGCTTGGAATGGTTTTCTCGGCCTGGCCGTTGGCTGCTACTGCTGGCTCAGGGGCCGAGGTAGCAGGTCCTGGGCCTTCAGGGTGTGTGGTGCTCAAGGTGGCCTGTGCTGGGTCTTCATGGACTTCCTGGACAAAGGGAAAATGAGAAGCAGGTAGCAGGGAAGACACTGGAGTACATTAGTTAATTAAAACAGAAGGAACACTTGTAAAAGTTAAATATGTAAGGTGTTCTTTAAACTTCCCCTGGGGTTATAGGTATGCACCACCTCAGCTGGCTGCCACCTATTTCTGCTGACACGGCTGGTGGAGTGCTTGAATTAGATCCCTGCACAATCCCAACCGTACATACTGGATGCTCCTTCCACTGGAGTGCCCTTCTCCCTCATCCATGCGCTACGCTAATTCCACTGTGATTGCTACAATTTATTATTTTTATTTTATTTTTTGTCTTTTTGACAGGGTCTCGTTATGCAGTTCAGGCTGACGTTGAGCTCACTTTGTAGCCCAGGCTGGTCTCGAACTTGCAAGGATCCTCCTGCCTCAACCTCCCAAGTGGTGGGATTACAGTTGTGCACCACCATACCCAGCATTTTATTCCAATTTAGTCTACTGCTATCATCATCACTGACTGTCCTAGGCAACAATGGCTTCTCCAGATCCTGTCCCCATAACACCCTGGTCATGACTCTCTCATGTAACAGCAAATGCTACACTATGATTTGGTCACTCATTCTCCCTCTCCAGTTTGAATACCTGTCTTACTCATCTCTGGATTACCAATGCCTATAGTGGGGTCCACTTACAAAATACAAGGCCAAAGCTCAATCAGTGTCTGCATTAGTACCTTTAACCCATTCACCAGGGGGCTCTAATTCGTATGTTTTGCTGCTGGGCAGCTCTGAACCACTGGAGGTACAAGCCATCTGATGGGACAGTCACGCCTGTATCACTGGTGGTTCAAGCTGGTGGAAATGTGTTAAAAAACACTGAAACTAAGGAAACAAATTTTAACCTGTCATTCCATTGTAATTCTATGAGTGTCACAAAGACGTCATGGCTTTCTACTTCAAAAAAATGTAACTTCTTGAGAGACTAGCCAGGGAAAGGATCTGACATTTAAAACTCCTAAATTATATAGAAAGTCTAAGAAGAAGATGTATACCAAGTACTATGACTGAAGCAGTGAAGCTCTTAGGATCTAGAGAATAATATCCTTGGTTTGAGTTTCCTGCTTGGTCACTTAGCAGCTAGATAATTTTGAGCACATTATTTAATACTTTTAAATTTCAGTTTACTCCTCTATAAAATCTATCTTCACAAGGTTGTTGTCAAGATTAAATAGGACAATCATGAAAAATCCTGACCACAATGCCTGCCACACAGGTACCCAATGAATAATGGCCATTATTATTGCTTTTAAAACATGGTAAATAATTCCTATTTTGAGGCTCAAAATTCAATACATGGGGACACTCACAACATTAAGCATTAAGCACATTATGAAGGAGATTTCCCCTGGTCATGCAGTTTCTGGCAACAACTGTTCACGAAGATCCCGAGTACGCACGCGTGCATGTATGGACATATGTATGGCGTACTGGGGATTGAACCCAGGGCCTATGCACTGAGCTACATCTCTAGCACTATTTTATTTTGCCTCCTGCAGTCCTTACGCCTCAGCCTGCCAGACGGCTGGGATTATGGGCGTATGGCACCACATCTAATGTCTCAGTTTACAGTGCACTGTCTCAGTGTGGTCTCCGGGAGTCCTCACAGCAACCTTTTGCATAGCTGTCGCTCCCCACTTTACAAAGAACAATGTGTGGCCTACTCTGCTGTCACCCAGTATCAGACAATACAGGTGGGGATCTACATTCAGGGGGTCCTGACTCCTGTTCCTTCTACATCTTGGCTCCTAGAGAGCCTCACTAGGCAGGAGAACCAGAAACTCAGCCCTGTCTTCTTGCTTTGCTTGTTCAATTGTCAGTGGCCCTGCCAAGACACTGGAGGTTTTTGGTTGCTTCTATTTGAAATGACAAGACCTTATGGTTCGTTTCTCCAGGTTGTATGCAGATTAAGGACCAATAATGGCTAGTGTCTCTCTACTTCTAGAAACGGTAGAGGGCAAGTATCTCATAACGAGAAAATAAATAGGCCAACCAAAATCGGGATACGAGATCCACAAACCAAAATACTTAAGTGTCTGAGGGAGAAGGGTTTACTTCTCTCTGTAAAAGGTCAAAGTTTATACTTAGTGGCCTTGCATACTCACCAAGATTCCTGCCTGAAGTGTTTGCTCCTTCAAAAAGATGAGGTCCATCCCGCCTTCAACATGTTTCCGTCTTCCCCTCCGCCTCCTCATGGCAGCATCATCTCGTCTGAGGCTTCCGTTGACAATCTGTCCAGTCACTGGGTGGATCAGGCCAGCTTGCAGGATCCCAGACAAGTCCATGCCAAGGGCTCCTTGAAGTGAACCGATAGCCCCAATCTTAGGGGTGTTGGCACTCACTGGGAAAGGGGATGTGGCTCCTGGGGACCCCTCTGATGAGCAGGAGAGGTCTATAGCTGACTCTCCATGCCAGCCATTGAGGACGATGGGGGGGTGCCCGTGGGTGGCAGAGAACTGTTCTAGGCTCCGAGCCTTGGCATCCCTCTCCACCTCAAACTCATAGGGACGTCTGTGCTTTTGTTCATCTTTTGTGAATACTGGAGCTAAGAAGCTCTCCTGTGAACACACACATGGCAAAAGAAGTTTGAATGCCACTTTTGTGGCTGAAGTAGCTCTTTCTCCAGGTTTGATTTCCCCACTCATCTTCTTAGAAGTTCTATGAACTCAAGCCTCCTTAAATGTGAGTACCACACCATCTGGATAGCTTGTTAGATTCTACTCTGGCGGGCCTAAGAGTCTGCATTCTTAACAGGTACCGGGATGCTGAGAAAGTTGCCAGTCATAAAGTACACTTGCAGTTGCAACACTGTAACTCTGATTCTCAGCCTCAGTTGTAAATAAGAATCATTTGGGAAGTTAAAAAAAAAAAATCCCAATACCCAGGCCATAGCCCTGACCAATGAGAGTCAGTAGCTTTTCAAGGTCCCTGTTAATTTTGACAGCAGTCAAGTGTGAGAACCAGTGTACTAATAACTAACTTCAAAAACATTCATCATGCTCAAACAGAAATATTCAATCTTGCCTTGATTTCCAAATTTCTACCAGCTGCTACTGCTCTCTCAGTCATCCAACGGTTGAGTACATCCATCACTCCTCCTCTCTATGTATTCACTAGTCATCAAGTTTGTCCCTTTCTTTGTATTCACTCTGCCTCTAACTGTGCATCAGTTTCCCACTTGGTCTCCAGCTGAGGCACGCCTCTCTCCTCCCATCCCCTCTCATCCTCTGCCAACCTACAGACTTCAGCTGAGTGCAAAACCCTGCTTTTTTACCTTGTGCTCTGGTCCTAAACTTCTTAATAGCTCTACACAGCCTACAAGATAAGGTCCAAATTCTTCAATTAACAGTAATGGCTTGACAAAAACAATATATAAAACCCAAAACCCCAAAAAGCCCACTGTCCATTCAGTAGGCACCTGGTGAATGAACAACTCATCTATGAAACGGACTGTGGCCACAATTTCTTGTTCTGTGATCCACACCATCTTCGTGGCCTTACCTTTTGGACCTGAGCTGCCAATGTCGCACCGTTGCTGAAGCTGTGTTCTGCTGCTTCTGGCTCCGGGAGACTGTTCCGAGAACCAGCGCTGTTGACTAAGACTGGGGTGGACAGTGTGCCCGAGGGCTCATACTGCTGGCTAGATGGCCACTTTCCCTTCAACACCACATGGCAGATGCTATCTAGGCGATTAATTATCACACGATCCTGGGGAAAAGGACACCGGCTTTGAGAAGTAAGAACCAAGTTACCCAAATTCGCAAAGTTCTTTGAGATCAAGGGTCAAATTTTCTGACCAGAAGGAGGTGACCAGAAAAGAGCATTCAAATGGGAAGGGGACCAAGAGACGGAAGGAGCAGAGGGAAAGGGGGTAGAGGCTGAAAAAAGAATTAAGATGCACTACGTGCATGTACCAACTTCCCACAATAAATGTAACTGTTATGTACTGCAAACACGCACTACTGAAAATAATGATTAAAAAATAAAAACAATATATGTGAGTGTGGGGAAAAAAGAAGAGCCATCAAACATACCACTTTATAAGCCTTAAAAGTAAATTTCTAGTCTGGACAATGAAGAATAAATTAACAGTGTTGAAACAGGAGTACAATTTGACACATCCATCTTATGGTTCAATTAAGAGCATAATCTTTGATGCTAAATGTTACATAACTAATACCCTTTAAAATATTGAACATTGCTCAGTTTGCTTCATAGAAACACTTTACAAGGTTTGAAACAATCAGAGCTAAAAATGCTTGAGGTGGAGTGTGCAAGCTCTGGGAGATACCTTTGGCCACTCCGAGAAGGAGTAGAGGGTTTTCTCCTGCAGCAGCTGAGCAATGGTGGGAGCTCGAGCCTCCTGTGGGTCATCCCCAAGGTCTCCGGCAATACCCGAGGCTGAGCTCTTGCTCTCCTCTTCTGAGTATTTCCCTGGATAGTCTGGGAAAAGAGGTTAAAAAACCACCTAAGCATCTGGGAGTTATTAGTGATCTGAGAGATTAGGATATCCGATTTGATTTTTCCTGAAAATTAACCCATTTTGTGCTATTTTAAACTGAACACTGATGATCGTATCTTCTATTTCCAGGCAGGAGAACTACATTAGTGAGACCATAAAGGCAAATCCTGGTCTATGGTTAACAAAGCAAGTCATCTACTAATCATCTGTAGCCACACCTCAATAACAAAAGAAGGGAGAGGGAAATTTCTATGTATCCAAGAATAGGAGGAGGTGAGGGACCATATTTCTGATCAGTACAGCAGAGAAGAAGGTGAGCATTACAATGTTTTATTTCGTATTTTTATTTTTATTTTTTTGTTTTTTTTCAGGTACTGGGAATCGAACTCATGACCTTGCACTTGCCAGGCAGGCCCTGTGCTGCTGAGCTAAACCCCAGCCCCTACAATGTTTTGACACATTTGTTTGACACAATGTTTTAACACATATCTCTTCAGAGATATGGAGATTTCACTTCCGGCTGTGCAGTATCCTGGGGAGCTGCAGAGACCCCTTACTATGAACAGGCCTTGTAAGGCATGGTAGACTTGAGGATAAACGCGAACCATGGCCTGCTCCCCATGTTCTCACAATCTCACAGGGGAAGACAAGAAAGCAGTAACAATAAAGGAATAACTGAAATTATAAACCATGACAAGTGCTATAAAGAGGAATGAAAAGGGGAATAAGATGGGGAATAAGAAGGGAAGAATCTACCTAAGTAGGCTGGTACAGAGGAAGGAAGGGGATTCTGTGTGTGTGTGTGTGTGTGTGTGTGTGTGTGTGTGTGTGTGTG